GAGTTTCAGAGGTCAGAACCAGGTCCAGTTAGTGTTTCAGAGGTCAGAACCAGGTCCAGTTAGTGTTTCAGAGGTCAGAACCAGGTCCAGTTAGAGTTTCAGAGGTCAGAACCAGGTCCAGTTAGTGTTTCAGAGGTCAGAACCAGGTCCAGTTAGTGTTTCAGAGGTCAGAACCAGGTCCAATTAGTGATTCAGAGGTCAGAACCGGTTTGAGGTCAGCAGAATCCTTCAGCTTTAACCTGCAGAACATCTCTGAGTCCGGGCCGGTTCTGAAGAACCTGAACAGAAATCAAACAAACCAACCTTCAGAACCATCATCTGGACTCCAGGTCCACGGTACAGGTTCAGAACTTCAACAAACATTAAAATAAACAACTTTAAATTAAACTGAAGTAACTCTGAGAATAAAACTTTCTTCTGGTTCTGAAGGAGAACGGACCTTCAGGGTGCTGAGTATCTCTCCAAACAGGTGCTGAGCTTCCTGAGTCTCTGGCTCTTCAAAGTAGTCCGAGGCTGAGACCTGGACCCTGATGGACCTGAGGTTGCTGCACGCACCTGTCGGGGTCAGAGCAGACGTTAAACAGCTGCAGGTGAGCTCAGAGGTGAGCATCAGGAGGGGGCGGGGCTTACTGTGGAGGTGCAGGATGGCCTGACCGCTGACCGGGGTGTGGACCAGGATCAGGGTCTGCAGACTCTTCAGTCCAGGTGTACAGAGCTCTGACGCCACCTGCAGGCTCAGGTCGGGGACGCACTCCAGCTCCAGCTGCTGCAGGTGAGTGCAGCTACGCACTTTACACAAAACACACACAAAAAAACACACAGCCAGGTCTGTGAGTGCACGTCACAATAAATGTGAATAAAAATAAATAAATGTCAGCTGGTGCAGCTAAAACTGGCAGAACAACAGCTAAAAGCTAAACGTAGCAGAAGACTAAATGTGAGCCAGAAGCTAACACAAAATTTAAAAAGAAAAAAGTTTTAAAAGAATTGGAGATCTGAATCTACTGAGAATTTTAGTTTGAAATTTTATAACAACAACAACAACAACAACAACAACAACAACAACAACAACAATAACAACAACAATAATAATAATAAAGTGTCCCTTTTCTAAACCTTTTGATAAAGCAGATAAAACAGCTGACTCAGCGTTCAGTTTATTAATGGACGATCTTTCACTCACCTACACCAACCAATCCCTGAGTGCTACAGCTAGCTCCGCCCACACCGAGCGACAGGAGGTGTGGCCAACATCGTCCAATCGTCTGCAGGCAGCGGTCATCAAAACGAGAGGGCTGCAGGCTGAAACAAACATTATTTAACTTCATATATACGGTTTAGTTGTTTTATAAATGAAGAATAAAAATCCTTAAAGTTCGGATCATTGAAGCTTTAAGTTAAACAAGTTTTGATGAACAACATCTACAGAAACTTTAACAATATCTCTAAATTAGTTTTGGTTTTTTATGAATGGATCTAAACAAAGT